CCCGCGACTTCGCTCGCGCTAAAACTACAAAGAAAAACAAAGGGTTCATACAAACTTTCATCCCCTATTTTACCCCCTTATAGGATAAATTTCAAATAGTGCTAAAACAGGTATTTATTTAATTGTATTGATGAGCATAAACACGTTTCAAGTAATTCCGATCATAAATATTTTTTGGGATGTATTTCGTGTTTCTACGTGGGAATGAGATAATCTTCCGCGGTAAAAAGTAGCCTACGTCACTCTGTTTCGACGTGAAAAAAAAGGACAAACAAACACACAATTTCATATTTTTAATATTAGTATGGATGATTTTTAAAAACGTTATGAAGTAAACGTGTGTGTGTATGTGTGTATGACTGTATATGCATGTTATATTATTTTGATTAGTCCATTGAGGCAGGGATATGATATATTATTATGTATGTGTAATGGTTGTCATAGTAATATAAAATATCAATTATGGCCATTGCATACACTAATGAGTTTTTCAGTATCTTCATTGATAAATTCTCGAAATAGTCAACAATCTTCAGCTTATATATTTTACTATATTTATATATATTTTTTTTAATTGTATTTTAAATAAACGGTCCCAAGTAGCAATAAAATTTACGACTAAACACAGTTCGAAAAGCCTTACTATCGACGCAAACTGCTTGTTTTCTACTTTTAATTTGTAATTGCGACGCATATTTCAACTCGGCATTTTAAAATAACTATAATACGTATGTTTTCTCAAGTACATAGGGTTATTTATATGATACCAGTATCTATAAACCCCCTTTTTAAACATTTTTGTCTGTCGTTCTGCTTTTTCGGGGTAACCTTTTAAATGGCTTAACTGATTATAATGCGCCTTTTACTCAAAAGATAGAGGAGTTTGTAGAGCTAAATATAGAGTATTAGCGGCTCACCCTCGCTTCGCTCGGGTTCACCTCTAGGAAAACAAACCTATCCCAGGTGAACTATAATTTTTTCCGGGATAAAAAGTAGCTGTAATGTAAAGTTGTGTTATTCCAGACTATAATCTATCCTGTGTGAAATCTCATCCAGATCCGTTCAGCCGTTCTAGCGTGAAAGAGTAACAAACATCCATACATATTCACAAACTTTCACATTTATGATATTAATACGGATATACAGACGTTTTACTCCGGAAATATTTAAGGTTCGAATTTACGATTTCATTAAAAAAAACTGCGATAGCATATGTAGGTAGGTAATCTCCTAAGCTATTTTAAATAGATAAAAATAGTTATTGCGTGTGTAGCGGTAGTATAAGATATTGCGGACTGTTCCATTTTAATTAAAATTACATTGAGTTTCAGGGACACTCACTATCTTAAACCGTCCGTTAGAATGTTTTTTATAACTGAGAAATTGATTTTTTTTAATTCTATTCGATAGGCACGAATGAGAGGTTATTCAATAAAATTGCACTTTACATTGTACACCAAACATTACGGTGCATTATTTTTACAAAATAAAAGAATTATTTTTAATTAAAAGGGTCAATTGACAAATATTTTATAACTAGCGGCTCACCCACACTTCGCTCGGGTTCGTCGCTAGGTACGTTTTAAATAGATATAAATAGTTATTACCCAGCGTTAGCCATACAATTTTTTTTTTGTTAATTTTTCTGATGTTTTAATACTTATTATCCTAGTCCGGACTAAGAGTATCGAAAAAATCAAATATCATAAAAATTGGTCCAGCCGTTCTCGAGTTTTGCGTTTACCGACATTTATTTTTATTTATATAGATAACACACGATTGACCAATAAATATAATTTCTAGAACTCCTCTATTCCCGAGTTGAAAAGCACCATATGTTCCGCTTCATTATGCCTTCTGTGTTCTTTTATCAAAATCGACTCAGTATTTATAGCTATAAAAAAGACTAGGTACTTAAAGGCTAGATTAGTCTTGTCACTTAAAAATATACTTTATTGTATATAGTTTTTATTCATTGATTTATTCGAGTTTGAAATAAAAAAGAATACCATATTTTTGAAAATTTATTTATTTTTGTTAAGTAACTTAATTTGTACCTTCTAAATAATCTTTATCTTCACCAAAGTAATAACAATAATAAATGTACAAAATTTACAATGATCTAAATCCCAACGTAAGAAAACGCAGTTACGTACAAAAGTTACATAGTAGTTGTTACTCTTCTGATTTGATCAAATTTTCTTCATAAGAAAACGTTCGATGCTAATTTAGTTATATTATTTTTACTGAAACTAACAAGTACGAGATGATTTGACAAGGTAAAATGCGACCCAAACACGTCAGCTCAACAAATATTTTTAATAGTATTTATTTTGACTAAGCACGTTTCTTAAGTCACTGTGTTTTATAATAAAAACATCGGAGATATGTTGTACTGTTGATTTAACCCCCGAACCTTATAACACTGAAACGTCATATTTAACATTTTTATTAAAAAATACTTTTTCAATGTCAAAGTTATAAAATTTGGCTAACACATAAATATCTACTGCCGCCTTTTTGTAATAATATTTAATAAAATCCTATATTCCAAATCAATGATGACCTATACAACAGGATTTATTACGCAAGGTGTTAATATTTTGTACCAATACCTTGAATATAAAAATAATTTAAAACGTAACATTAAAGTAACCTTAAATTATTATTAATAAACAAAAAAATACCTTAAATAACAAAAATAAAATCAATTTCAAAACATTCAAGCATGGCTCACAATCACAATGATTTCGTGTTCAAAAGACTCTAAGACGGGGTTCAAACGTAGAGACAGCGAAATTTTCACATAATACAGTTCTCAATCGTATACAGTTACCATTTTCTTACGGCAATTACACCGTAGACGTTAAATTTTATTCGTTTAACTTGTTTAAGATTACAAAAAACGTGTGAACGGTATGTTGTATATTGCATGTATAAAAATAGCTTTGCGCCTTTTTATATAATATAACGAAATACCTAAGTCATGGCATTTTTCACATTATTAAATTCGTATAACCCACTACGTCCATAGTAACGTGTAATAAATAATAAACAAGATTTTAACGCATAATTGAAAATAATACTAACTATTGATTATCTTGAGACATAAAAACTTTTTAACAAAAAAATAAAAACCGACTTCAAACAAAAGCACTAAAAAGTAAAAAATAACTGATTGGTAGTTTCCATTTACTATACATACCTAATCAAATATTTTCGAAGTCGGTGTGCTTTGCTTTGTATGGGCTGGCACCGATTTAGAAAATATTTGATTAGGTATGTATTTAATAGGTAAGCTTTAATTACTTAGCCAAAGCACACCGACTTCAAAAATATTTGATTAGGTATGTATAGTAAATGGAAACTACCAATCAGTTATTTTTTACTTTTTAGTGCTTTTGTTTGAAGTCGGTTTTTATTTTTTTGTTAAAAAGTTTTATTTTTTCCCTTTTTTAGTGTAGACAGTAGTAGCAAAGTAAGGATTCTAACGTGTTAGGCTTGTGAAATCAAACAAAGTAAGCCCAAACTCAAAGTATCTACTATTAGCCGTTGAAGAGTTCCACATATCCACCTTCTGACCTTGCCATCAGATCAGGTCAATAACACCGAACCACTGTACTATCAACGGAAATAGAAATACTTGCAAAGTTTCAAGTCAATATGACAATTAGAAGTAGGTTAAATTCATCATCAGTTGTTTTTCCACCCTTAGGGGTGGTATTTTTTTTTGAAATTTAAATGGGACCAATCTGGAAGTATACCCTTTCAAACAAAATAAAAATTGTCCAAATCGGTTAATAAATGACGGAGTTCTCAGGTAACAAACATAAAAAAAAAAAAAAACATACAGTCGAATTGAGAACCTCCTCCTTTTTGAAGTCGGTTGAAAAGTTGTGTATGTATATTGTATGAGCCTTCAGTTGTTTCACTTTTTATGATTTTAGACCTTCAGATGTAAAATTTCTCGTCTCATACGTTCGTCTATCTGTGCTATTTGTCTGATAGCTTTTCTCTGTTGCTGGACGGAAAAAACGTTCTTTTACTAATGTTCAAATTATATATAATTATATGTCAGACATAAAAAAGCACGTAAACGAATAGGATGATTAAATTTGGGAGATTAAACAGAATATATAAAATAGCATCACGAATCACATCAAATGAAAGAAGTTATAATTTGCAAATACTCTTTCCAAAGAATGTAAAAACGAAAAATCAAAAACACGTAACGTGGGCAACACTGTCTGTCTAAAATTTTGCAAAAAAAACTGAATGTAGGGCCTCAATTTACAAATAAATATAACAAAATCTTTTAATTCCCCTTAAAGTGATAAGATACAATGTACCACAAGTAATCACATGTTCAAAGAATTTAAAATTATTTCAAAAATCGTTCGAGATCTACCGCTTATAGCTAATTCGACAATAAACAATTTTCTTCCAATATTAGATCTTGGAGCCGCAGACTTAACTGCCGATAGTTGCACGTGTATATTCATAGCCGACAAGATATTTTATTAGCCGATACTTAATACCGTTTAAAACGCTCATTAGTGAAAACTCTGCAGTGCGATGTCTAATTGTGGCGTCATAAAACATCTTTTTCCTTCGCCACACATACAAAATAGCCATAAGTAATTGCTATGTATATAGCATAGCCACAGTATAAAAATTCAAACTGTAAGAGATCGTCCATTTTAATGAAAATACTAATGCCAAATATAAGGGTTGTCAAAACTATTTTTAAGTTATTTTGAAGTTAAAGTTTATCTCAATTCCCTTGTTAATATCTTCAATCTCAGGTAAGACATGAGGGAGATTGGTTGAAGTTATAATTTATAGTTATACCCGTCAGCCCTAAATCCGTTTCCCGATTAACATATTATACAAGTCCTCACGCTTCCGCTGCATAATTAACCTGACTATACTCTTCGTTAGACAACCGTATGGATTGTAGAAAGTGCTTTAACTATATTTAATAGTAAAATGTTGGTTTA